TTGGTCCTTTTGAGACAGCCCTGTAACCCCAGCTGTCCTGGAACTCACTATGTGTACCAGGCTGGCCTTGAACTCACAGAGATGTGCCTGAGCGAGCGCTGGGATTAAAGGCATGCGCCACCACGCCCGGCTCAACCAACTATTCTTATTAAATAATCTTTATAGTTAAAAGGTGGAGAGTTAAATAAGGACAAAGATATTTTCCAAGCAGTTACTTCAGACTTAATACTCCTCATAAACAAAATTAATCAGAAAAATCCCTCTACTCCAAGTGATGAAGTCATAAGCTTATTTAACAAATTGTACCCTTTCAATCAACAGCTACACAATTCCCACCAGATATCAGAAAGTCTGATTTTGTATCTGACTATCAAATTTCTTTCTCTTCCCTTTACTTTTCACACGATCATCAAGCGTGGCAAGGATCCTAAGATCCTCTCCATCTTGACCCACTGAAATGCCTCAGTATAAGTTTATTCAATCCACTCTCATGCTATAGCCAAATGATCATTCTAACACTCAAAAGCTGATCCTGTCACACCCCTGCTTGTAACTAGTCAACTAAGACCAAGTTCACTGCAGAGCAATCTACAGACATGCTAGATACCTCACTTTTTAAGCACTGGCTGTTAGATCAACATTGCAGTTATACAGAAATACACCCCCTCCCTATCCTCCTATCAGATGCAGCAGAGCTATTCTCTCTCATTTCCTTGGCATGTTGTCTTCTTTCTCGTACCAAACCTTTATTCAATATTCAAATTTTAACTCAGGGCTGAAGATATGGCTGTGGTTGACACTTGCCTAGCATGTGGGTGGTTCTGGTTTCAATTTCTTTCTCTCTCTCTCTCTCTCTCTCTCTCTCTCTCTCTCTCTCTCTCTCTCCCCTCTCCCTTTTAAACTGCCCCCCCCATACACCCCATCCCCGGCCCGTGTTGTATGCATGTTTTCATTCCACAAATGACTAGGCATCTACAGAGATGGGATGGTGCACTGTGAGAACAGGCATGCACAGGTCAGGCACTTAGATGAAGGAAATACAACCTGAATGTTCTATTTCCACTAATAGACAAGAGAGGAGAAACGCTTTTGCTATTGCAGTTGGTATGGCAGTAATAACCGACCTCCTAGCACAGAACCCAGCACAAGGCATGCATGACGTCATTTGCTCCTTTGCTAAACACCAGGCGCCCACCATATTCCTGACGCCCTTGTGGACACCCGGGACTCCTCCGTGACTAAAACACGCCCAGCCTCGTCTCCAGGTTGCTTCAATGGAGCCTCGATGAAAATGTGACGCAGGTAGAGATTCGCAACCCAGGGGAGAAAAGCAGAGGCTATTTTGACCCACAGGTGTCATCTGGCAATGCCTGGAGACGCTCCTGCTTATCAAGATCCGGAAGGAAGGATGGATACAGGTTTGGGGAAGATACAGGAAGGATGCTGCTAAACATCTGGTAAGAGAGCCCCCCCCCACACGAAAACATAGTTGGGAATTATCTCTCTCAAAATACCAGCAGTGGCGAAGTTTTAAGGCGCTGAGAGAGATGGAGGAAGGAAGGGATGGAGAGATGGGAGGGCGCGGGGATGCAGGAGCACACGCCTCCTGCAGAAGCAGCCACAGCGCAACTGGGGCAGTGGGATGCTCCGGGTCCCACCCCATCTCAGGGGTTCGCCCGCGGCCGCGGAGCTCCAAAACTAAGGCCCTGGGACAACCGATCGATACCTGCAGCACCATCCGCAGCCAGCCGCACCGCAAGGATCTTCCAGAACCTTGTCCTGCAACAGCTGCGCGCGCAAGCCCGCGGCAGCCACTGCGCATGCGCAGAGGTTCTGAACTACGATTCCCGGAGTCCGCTCTCCCAGCTTTCAGAAAGTCCTGGGTTTTCCATAGGCTCCTACCTGGCCTGTTGCGCATGGCCACTGGGAAACGGGTGGAGGGCTCAGCTGCTGAATTATTGCTGCGCCAGAGGCTTAGAGGCCTAGAACCCTTTCAAGGTTTTCAGAGCTTTGTGGTCCTGTCTGCATGACAACCTCAAATCTTCTTCACCTCCCATCACTACCTTTCCCTAAAATCCAAAGTGGAAAAAAAAAAAAAAAAAACACCGAGGAAGCATTAGCGATGTGTTCAGTGCAAATCAACGCTGCAATAAATTAAATGAATTATCAACCCTCTGACTAATGCACCTGCCACCATGGTCCAAGGCAAAGCACCATCACGCTTTGCCTGGGCTGTTGAAATAGCGTCTTGGTTTCACCTTCGTTATCTTGTCCATTATCCACACTCCAAATGGGCAGGTTAAGTCTCTCTTAAGGACTACTTAAAATCCTGGTATCTTAGTTGATTTTCCCACTGCTGTGATAAAAAACCCTGACAAAAGTTACTCAAGGGAAAAGGGGGTTCATCTCAGCTCACAGTTCAAGGTACAATCCAGCAAGGCAGAATCAAGACAGCAGAAGTGTAAACTAGCTGGCCATGTTGCACCCACAATCAGGTACAAAGAGCAGTGAATGCACGCCGCTGCTCAGCGCCTGCTCCTTTTATACAGTCCAGGATTCCGCCCTGCCTCACCCCCCCCCCCCCCCCCCCCCCCCCCCCCAGAAAAGGATGCCACCCACAGGGGGCAGATCTTCTGATCTCAAAGAAGGCAATCAAGATAATCGCCCATAGAAGCCTTCGAGAGTCTGTCAATTAAAAGTAACTACCATATTGAGGAAGTCTTACATTTCACTCCAAGTAAAAATTCCACATCTTTACAAGCCTATAAGGCCTGCAATGTAGCCGTCTACAACCTCCCTGATCTCTCATCTGGTCTTAGTCAACACAGTCTTTCCCTGTTCCTCCAACCTGTGAGAGTTCTGGTTGAGCGACTCTCTCCCTGGGTAGCCTTACACCGGCTCCCACCACTCATGATCCCACTGAGTTCCCTCAGCACACCACTGGAACTGGAATCCCATCCCACTCCTGTTTCCCCTTATTCATATCATAGAATTTAGCCGGTTGTGGTTGTGTATGCCTTTAATCCTAGCACTTGGGAGGCAGAGCAAGGCAGATCTTTGTGAGTTTGAGGCCAGCCTGATCTACATAGCCAGTTCCCAGGCCAGTTGGGGTTACAGGGAGACTCTGTCAGGGGGTCTGGATATGAGTGAGAAATAGTGTATGAAATTTTAAAGGCTCAATTTAAAAAAGACAAAACATTTCATAGAATTTTCTAGCTTGTTAATTGCTTATTGTCTGTCTCCACTATCAGAATATGAATCCAGACAGTAAGGATTGTTTTCTTATTTGTTGTATTTCCAGGCTCAAAACGGTACCAACAGTGGTGCCTGTAGGTGTTCCATGGATATTTGTTGACCATATGAACAGTGCTAGCATGGTCAAACTTCCTAAAGATTGTTTGAAGGGTTCTCATAACTAGCTCACTCTTGCAGGGATGGATTGGGGGTGGGGGCATTGTAGATTGAAGGAGTAGGCTCTGAGACTTCAAAAAGTCAGAGAAGACTTAAACTAAATGAATCACTGACGTCTTTTTGCAAGCAGCGAGGACAGCAGGAAACCGTTGTCTGGCAGTCAGGAAGATGTTCTGCTAGTCCCAAGCCTGAGTACTCACATTCTCCTGCATCTGCCTCTCCTCAGCAGGCAAAAGATGGAAGGGATCTCAGGAAGAAGTCAGAGGAACAGTACGTGACAATTGGCTCATTATTTTAACTTGCCAACTTGAGACATTTTAATCAGTGATTCTCAGACTTTAGTGAATCACATGGTGCTCTTTATTTGGAAACAAGCTGAGGCTCTCCTGTCCTTCTACTCTCCAGTCTGTTACAAGTGTTGCTTGAACCCTTTGAGAAACACTGTTACTCGTTGAAAGATTCTGTCTGTAACTAAGCGACATTCTAATCATAACTGAATTATTAGGAAAAAAAAGTCACATCTTTTGGGAACTGGTAGCCCAGCTATAACTTTGATTAAAAGCAACCGTCGTGGTTAAGAAGGATGGAATAGGATCAGTAAGGAATAAGAAAAGGACAAATTAATTAGTTTCATATAAAATCAAGCAAGCTGGGCATGGTGGCGCATGCCTGTAGCCCCAGCACTTGGGAGGCAGAGGCAGGCAGATCTCAGTGAGTTCGAGGCCAGCCTGGTCTACATAGTGAGTTCCAGGACAGCTGAGGCCACAGGGAGACCCTGCTTCAACACCCCCCCAAAAAACAAAAACAAACAACAACAAAAAAACAAGCAAGGACCCAATGGGAGGGGTTACCTGCTGCCAAGTCTGACTACCTGAGTTCCATCCTGAGCTCCACATGGTGGAAGGAGAAAACTGACTCCCACAAGTTGTACTCCAACCTCCACACAGACAAATGGAATGGGAATCTTTGAATGGTATAAGCAAACAGGAATATTTAGGTGGGTTGTGTGGGGTTTTTTGAAATTTTTACTGAGCTTTTGTACATTTCATACAATAGTTCTTAATCAAATTCACACTTCTCCCCTATTCATCCCCCCTCCCCTACTGGACCTCATGTATTCCACCATACATGTTAAGTCCTATCCAGTCAAGTATTTGTACCCAGATGTCCTTTGATGCAAATTCATCCACTGGAGTCTAGTCAGCCTATCTAGAGATCATTGGTAAGGCCTATTCTTCCTCACTCAGTAGTTATCAGTCTCCAATAGTTCCCAGATTAGGGCCACCCTGCTACCCATTTCCCTTGCTTCACTCTGGGCCCTTGTCTGATTGAGTTGGTGTGGGTCCTGTGCTCGAAGCCACTATTGTCACAAGTTCACATATGCAAGTTTCCAGTGCCTGAAAGCTTCTGCTTCCCTATTTTCATGAACCAACCCAATCCCCACCCCCGACCCTGTGGGTGGGAGAGGTTTGATGTAGAATCCTATATAGGGACACACACTCTGCAGTCTCTTATTCTTTAAAAGTTGGCCAGTTGTGGCCTTTTGTGTACATCGCACACTGTTGTATAACAACTGGTGAGAGTTGAGCGATGCACTACTTTTCTCTCTACCCCTCCCCCTGTTGTTCCACTATGTTCTATGAGTCTTAGGTGTAGAGGTTCCACTGTGGTTATGTCACCTAGGACTGGGCATCTTTCAGATGAATATTCTCTGTGTCTGACCAGTTATAGTATTCTGTAGTAACTTCCATCTGTTGCAGAAAGAAGCTTCTTTGATGAGTGGTGTACAGTTTACTTGTCTGTAAATATAAGAACCATATTTAGTGTATGGTAAGAATATTTTTTAACTGTACTGGCTTCAGTATGAAAAATAGATTGGAAAATTCTAAAGCTAGAGGTAAAAAGACTCATCTTATTAGGAGGTTGTTTCATGTATCCATGTGAGCTAATGATGATGTGAAATAAAGGTAGTTTAACTGACAGTGGAAAATATCAATGGTATAAGAGAATCAAGAGATGATAACGGTGTTAGGATTTGGAGATACGGCAGCTATTGATGGACAGGAAGAAAAGACAAAAGATAATGCATGATGCAGTAATTACATTTTTATAAAGATGACCACAGCAACGTGTGTGTGTGTGTGTGTGTGTGTGTGTTGTGTGTGTAAGAAGTTCTTACAATATACTGTTGATATACCTCCTTTGGTAGGAGGTTACTTTGAAATCAGGGTGGCCTTTGTCACAGCCAATAGAGTACAGAAGTGGGCTGGGAGTGTGGCCTAGCATGTATGAAGTGGATCCTGGGGGAAAGAGGGAAGGGAGGAAGGGAGGGAGGGAGGGGAGGAAGGGAGACAGAGAGATCTGTTTTTAAAGCAGGATCCATCCATATAACTATTCCAAGGATACCACTATCTTAACTTAGGAATCATTGTGCTTGTTTCTATATCCTAGAATCTGCATTCTCCTAACTAAACTCAGTTGACACACACTCTCTGTGGAGGGCTTCTTTCATTCAACCTTATATCTATATGATTTATCAAACTTGTTGCATATGATTGTAAGTTAGCTGTGTTCATTGCTGCATAGCATTCCCCTGTGACTTATTTGTACTGCTTTCCTAATTTTACAGCCCTTAACCCAGCATCTGTTCACTATGTGGATGTATATATGTGTTTGTGTGTGTCTGTAAAGAGCTGGCTAGGTTTCCTGATTTCCTTCTAGAATCAACTCACTTTAAAGAAACTAAAGAGCCAAGGTCCTGCCTACTACCTCCCACTTCCTATTTTATCAGAAAATAAGACACAATGCAGAGATGATTACTTGGATAGCTAATTGGCAGCTAACCAGCTCAGAGCAGAAGCCTTTTAGGGAGAAGTATATCATCCTCCATCTTTAGAAGAAGACAGGGTTGGATTCCAGTCAATAGTCTAGGGCAGGTGGGTCTTGTATTTTGTTTTGTGGAGTTTTTTAAAAAAATATTTTATTTATTATTTTTGTTTTATGTGTATATGTGTATTGTCTGCATGTAGGTAAGTGCACCCATGTCATGCAATGCCCACGGAGGACAGAAGAAACTGTCAGATCCCCTGGAACTGGAGTTCTGGACAGTTATTAGCTGTCATGTGAGTGCTAGGATTCGAACCTGGGTCGTCTGTAAGAACAATCAGTGTTCTTAACTGCTGAGCTACCCCTCCAGCCCCTGTTTTGTGGAGTTTAAAAAAAATTTTATTATTTTTATTTTACATGTATGTGTGTATTGTCTGCATGTAGGTGAGTGTACCCATGTCATGCGCTGCCCGAGGATGTCAGAAGAGGGCATCGGATCCCTGGATCCCCTGGACCTGGAGTTACAGACGGTTGTTAGCCTTCATATGGGTGCTGAGAACCAAACCTGGGTCCTCTGAAAGAGCAGC